TCTGGTTCGGGTTAAGATGCTGTCGCGCCGAGTTCGGGTTGAACATTTTGCGGCGCAATTTAAAATATAGATAATAATTTCAATTTTGTATTACTCGTTGAAAAATTAACTCTAGTGGAATTTTCAGTTCAAATACTTATTTCAGAACAACTGCATTCACTAACAACGCAAGGTATTCAGATACACAACTCTGTTTTTAATGATATTATGCCAATTAGTAGAGGAAAGTGAACTGATAAAAACTCTTAAAGGAGGACCCATATCAGTTCTTTCAAAAGTTATGAACTTTTTACTTCTAAAGGAACACTGTGTGCAGTAACAGTAATATAATAATAATTCTGTACTCCAGCCAAAGCAAAGAATTAAGAAGTGAAATTTTCTTTTGTACTTCCACTAATAGTCTGCTAATATTAGAGAAAATTTGAGCGTTATGTCTTCCTAAATTCGCTTGTTATTGAACTTTTCTTCCTGAAGGAAAACAATGTTTTTCCAAACCGCGCAATTTTCAATGATAACATTTCTCTTTTATTAGAGGTGATATTGCGAATTTAGAAAGATATAACGCTCAAACTTTCTTGAATGTTAGCAGACTATTAGCAAAAGGTCACTCGCCTGTAATGCGATGCCCTCCGCTGAATAAATAGGTAAATAAAAAGACAAACTTAAGAACAAAACAAAAGAGTAAAAATTTATCGGATCGGGTCGGGTTCGGGTTACGTTTTCTCCACCCGTGCAGGTCTCTAAGTTCAGCTCAAGCTAAGATTTGTCAACGTAAGGAATTAACACTCGACAGTTGTAATACTCCCGCTGGGTAGCATAGTTTGGTTTAAACTTAATAATAAGTTTTTAAAAGAGCTTTATGTCAATAAACTATCGACATATAAATACGTTAGATACTGTATTATACTCTTTCAATTATACAACAAGTACAATTAGTTTTCTAGGAGGAGCCTTTCATTTCGATCAAGGCAACTAGATAATGAGATATATAAGTGACCTAGATGTTTTCTTTTTTGTGTTCTTTTGTATTGTAAGGTCGTTTGTTCTATATCAAACTTTAACAGATGGAGAATGGTAATTTTCAACTTCATTTTAGATTTTCCATAATATCAAGAAAGTTTTCTTCACAACACATTGATGGCTGAAAGTCAGTCTCTTCGTAAGTTTGAAATGTCATTGAAGTTAATTTGGTTCTGTAATGCTAAACGGTTTAAAATTTGTTATCTTAGCACCTGTTGTTCAGAACTGGACTAAAGAGCTGGACAAATTTTTTTAAATAATGATCATTAGTTTAGATAGTGTGTATTGGTAGTGAGATTTTAAGGATAAGGGATGAATATTGTGGCTTCATCCGCACTACCAGCGATAGAAAAGGAAGTTATGCTGAGTTTTATTGAAATTTGATATACGTTAAAAATAAAAAAAATAAAAATAAACTTTCGTTGCTTAATTAATCCATTCGTTAATCAAGTTACGAGGTTTTCCGAACATTTTTCAAGGATTTTTCCTTCATAGGTTATTTTTGATTCAGAACTTTCTCGAATCTAGAGATCTGCACGGGCACGCATGGACAGGAATGGATAGGCAACTGCTTTCTTCGACGGGCACGGGTTTTTTAAAAATATATTCTAAACGTGTGATACATCAGAGAGAAAAAAACATTTCTTTCTGCTGGGGCACGGACAAGCATAGGCAGCGAAAAAAATCCACGGACGGGCATGGACAAGCATCCTCGATAGGACTACGGGCACAAGCAAGCGCGGGCAAAAAGATCTTGCCCGTGCAGATTCGAGTCAAATCACTTCTTTATTAAAATCAAAGCTGTGAATCGAGAAGATCTTGAATTGTAAATTTTATGATGATCAATAAGTCTGATTCAAAGATACTTCCACATTTTCTGATGAGAATTAAAGACTTTATTCTTCTGATTTTTCTTTAACCAATTTCTAGCAAACTAAAACTTTTTTTCATATTAAAACCGTATTTCTCTCCCATGAAGACTGAGAAAAATGAACACAACTTGATGAGTACTTCGATGATCCATTTTCTGACTTTCGCTGTCTGAAAATCATTGTCCCGCATGCGACAAAAGTCACATCTGCTGTAGTAGATTCAGTCTTGCTGAGATCAGAATTCTTTCTCGATATTTCACGCTCTTCCACTGAATGCCATCAACTGTGTGTATTCAATCTTTGATATCGATTCAACTTCTTCTCCTTCTAAATCACCGTATTAGGGTTGGTGCAAAAAAGGTCAGATTAGTTTACAATTTTGTAGGCAGTCACAAACGCACACATACTCGATCGTTCTATCGCCCGTTCTATTGATCTCATGGTTCGGCAGTGCGTGAAAATTTCTCGTGCGGCAGAGAGATAACGAACGTGACGAAAAATTCTTTATCTCTCTATAGAATAATAGCTTTTTCTGCACTGTCGAACAGAACTCCGTATGGACTCAAATTTTTGAGTCCAGTCCAGTCCATGGACTAAAAAAGCCTAGTCCAGTCCAGTCCAGTCCGAGTCCATTAGATTGAGTAAATAGTCCAATGGACTTTGCAAACTTCTGTATGCTCTAACAAAAAATAAGTATTAAAAATTGTATAAAGGGTGGCCCAGAGGTCCTGTCTCACTCAGTATTTTCTCAATATCTGAGTCAAGGTTGATCGCCAAGTCTCAATCTTTTTTAAAAGAAGCCTCATTCAGTTCTCTACACAAAACATATTGAACATTTTCTTATATACTATAAGAATAAAAAAATATAAAGTAAATACGGGAAAGCTTCATTATCGATTACTTTCAAACCGAAAAAACAGGTTTTTCAATGTCAGTCACTTATATTTTGCAATATGAAAAAAGAGGAAATGGCCATTTTGTAGTTCTCGAAAAGCGCTATCAACTGCTATATTTAAGACTCTTCATAGGCTCAAGCGATCGTGGAAGTTTTTTTTCTTTTTAGCGAGTTTGCTGCAAATCATCATTTTCTAACCGCAGTTTTGTGACACTTAGGCAAATTTGTGTGATTTGATCCAAATCACATATTATGACTTTAGATCCGGTTTATGTTGAAGTAAAATGGTTTTTCTGTTTCATCCGAACAGAGAAAGTCGAATAGCCCCCTTTCGTTTCCTGTGCCAAGGCGAAGAAATCAAACTTTCCCCTCTTTTTTTTACTTTTAGTAAAATCTTTGTCTATGACAGAAAAAAAGGTTTGTAGCGAATTTATGATACAAGAAAAGAAAGCTGATATTCTGGAGCACCAGAAAATACATTTCGATTCCACTTTGATGCATAGCACCGTGTTCAAAATAAATAGTTTTTGGGTGAGCTTTAGGTTTGAAAGTAATCGATAGTGAAACTTTCCCGTCTTTCCTCTATATTTTTTGTTCTTATAGTATATAAAGAAATGTTCAATATGTTTTGTTTAGAGAATTAAATGAGGTTTCTTTTAAAAGAAAGGATTGAGACTTGGCGATCAAACTTGACCGAAATTTTGAGAAAATATTAAATGAGACAGGACTTCTGGGCCATCTTTTATATAGTATATTTTTAATATTTACTTTTCATCTTCGTTTTTAAGCTTTCGAACAGTCTAATTCATCATCAGAAAAATGCAGAGCATACACAGAGCTATAAAGAGAGATGTTATTTATACACGAAACTTGTGCATATAAACGAACATATGAAATAGTCCGTATGACGGTAGTTAAACTAAAAGGAACACACGATGATACTAACAGACAAGGGAAAGAAATAACAGAATAAAAGTAAATTGAAAAAAGGACTAGAGAATGAGAGATATGGGTTATTTCATTTTTATTTTAGTTCTTTGACTAACACATCCTTGTGGGTGTGTATCTCTAATTCTTCTCGAGCCATTTTTAGAATTTACTTTTATTCTGTTATTTCTTTTCCTTCTCTATTAGTATTCTAGAATCACTTTTAACAAAACAAAAACAACTTGTCGTTTACCGATTTTTCCTCGATTCAAGTCCATCCAAAATTTTTCCAGTCCAGACGAGTCCATGGTCTTGAAAGTTTGAGTCCAGTCCAGTCCGAGTCCATGAAATCCAAAAAATCTGAGTCCAGTCCAGTCCACATGGACTGGACTGGACTGGACTGGACTATGGACTCAGTCCAGTCCATACGAAGCTCTGCTGTCGAACCATGTAATCAACAGAACGATGGAATATGTGTGCGTTTGTGACTGTCTACAGAATTGTGAATTGAGCTGATCTTTGCTGTACCATCTCTATTGATTTGCTTTCATTTCAAGACGATACCCACATGCTTGACTGAATGTTTTCTTCTATTTGATATTCGATCATGATCTTCGCTGACAGAAAAAGCAAAGTCTGTATATCATATCTTTCGTGACTAGATTGAAATGTCTTCATCAAGACTGAAAGAAGAAGATTTTATTGTCCTTGAACATTGATATCGTTTGGAAGTTTCTCAGTTGTAGGAAGTTTGAGTAGTTGATAAATTTTTATTAAAAAAACCCAAGGTTCAAGGCTCACCTTTTCCGAAACATTTAATGAGAAAATTTATCGCCAAAGATTTTGTTTAGTGGAATTTAGTTCCATTATTTCATTGATGATTCAATTGAATATCACGTCTTCGAAAGCAAATTGATACCAGAACATACAGCAAACATGATTGGAAAAATTCCTCAATCATTCGTTTTGATGAATGTAAATATTCACATACAGTGGAACCTCTCAAAGTGGACACCTGTATCTAATGGTATGGTTGAAAAACTTCTGAAAGAAATTTTAAGGTCATTAGGCTTTCTAGAAAAAGGGGCTTTTCAGAAATCCTTATAAATTTATTCTAACGTTTCGAGTCACCGACTCATCATCAGAGAAAATATATCATATACACTATAGAGAGAGAGAGATATTGATGTTACATTTACAATGTATGGATAACGAAAGTATTTTAGAAGAAATACAGCTATCCATCATGTGTACTACCAATTATAGGATAAGGAGACAATACAAGCATGTTTAAGAACTGCACAAGTAAAACTAGTAAGAAAAAACGAGAAAGGAAATAAAAGAAAAGAAAGGAATAGTCATTAATTTTTCTTTCTTACACTAGAAATTTTATGTAAAATCCCTTTAGGATATATAAAAAGCGGTACTGATCTATCAGTGCCGTTAAACTGAGAAATATTTTCTTTTATAGACAAAGATTCCCGTTCTAGTAATCTGTAGTTTTTGTTATCGTGAACTAATATATTTATTTTATTGAAATTGATAAAGTGACCGGTTTGTAAAACATTTTTACTTCACGCTGATTTAGGTTTATAGTTCGTAGTTGATTCACTCAAAGAGTAATTAGTTTATGCTAAGGTACGTTTAGCTATTCGTTGACTACGTCTTAAACTGTTATTTTCTTTCGTGTTCCACTGCAGCTAGTTGATACAAGATAAATGTACCCACAGGGTGTCCCAAAAGTCCAGCGGGAAATTTTTTTTAAATAACTCCGCCATTTCTTAACCAAACTTCAAGATTGGTTTTTTGTTTGATAGAGAAACGTTCCAAGTTTTATTTCATACGATTGGAAACTGTTGTTAATATTTGAAAAAATGTTTGGTCTTATTATAGTGAAATTCAGATATTTTGGGGCTCGTTTTTAATAAATTATGTACTGCAAAACCTTTTGGAAGGAACATAAATAGTTTTTGATGTTAAAATAAAGTAGATGATGTCCGCTTTCACATAATAAAATACTAATTTGCTTTTGCTTAAAAATGACAGGATGATGTGGATTTCTCCAGCCAGCTGTTCCATACTAGCATCTGGGAAAGTGCAAATTTTCCGATAAAGTTAACTAATAAAAGGAAAAACTACTAGTGGAATTCCATAGAAAGAAGGTAGTCCTATAAACTGGAATAGTTTGAAAGCCTGCAAAAGGTTGTATCAGGCTATTGCAGAAGTCGTAATCCCTAGATCATGCTAATATGGAGAAATTAACTTCTTGTGGCAAAACGTTAAGCTGGACAAAACATCTGAATATGTGGGATTGTAGAGCAACCTAAGTTCTATAAACTGAGACGTAATGCGACTCTGACAAAGATTCCATTTAATTACGACAAGCTCAACAATCTTTACGCACTATTACAAGTACTTAGACAGAAAACATATGTTGTTTTCTCATACTTGAACTTCGTGTCGGAAATAGATTACCACAAGTTCACCATTCACTTCAGTCCATGAGAATCCAACTTTGACCTTCTTGCCGAATTGTTTTATTCCATTGAGTCGTATTTTTTTTTTATTTAAGCTTTTTATTAAAAAAGAAAAGAAAAAACGATTGCGCAAGCGGCTATCGGCATATGTGCGCTTTAAAATGTATAAAAAAGAACGTATAATGAGCTTAACAGGAGAAAGGAAGAAAAAGGGAAAGAGAAAGCTCACGCAAGAGATGGTCATTCGGGTTTTTGGATATTCACTTCTACTGAGAAAACCGAAACTTCTCAGAATCGCACTGTCCGTAGTATACATCGGCATATCTCGTTCAGAATAACTTGACTCTCGCCCAAACATCTCCCATAAACTCCCAATAAACTAACCATTGATACACAAGGCAGGAAGCTCAGACTGGATAGTAGATCGGTTCTTTACGTTATTACGTTAAACAATGTAATAAATAATGCTTGGCTGTTTGGGTTCATTAGCTCCCTGGCATACACAAAGAGGGGATGAAACACATCTTTTGGAGTGTAAATTGGCATTTAGTTGGGGATTTCCACATTTCAATCGCATAAAAAATATTTCAGCTTGTCGTGATGGAAAAATGCGGCTTTTTTTAAAACGGGATTCATTTCGCAAATCCAACGCATTCTGTTTCAGTATTTTATGTAATGATTTCGCATTTAATAAGTATAATCTTGGATCTGGGTCCCATTTTGTGGAGAATTGAACGGGCTATCTAATGGTATGGTTGAAAAACTTCTGAAAGAAATTTTAAGGGCATTAGGCTTTCTAGAAAAAGGGGCTTTTCAGAAATCCCTATCGCAAGACCCCGAGATGTAGCATAACTTTTCTTCATCGGAATATGTAGAACTCGATGCGCTCTTTTTATTTGATACCAACTTCAAGTTTCTACGTTAGGGAATGTGATCAGCAGACGTTCTACAACTTCCAAGAACCTCATCTTTCTACCTGAAACATAACACACGGAAAGCAATGGTAATATGCGACCGAGAAAGGATCTCAAGATGTCCCAATTCGATTCTTGTTCCGTCTTAGCATCAAGTATCTTGGCTAGCCATTATGATTAAGTCCATTTCACATGTCGTTCGATTTCATTTTTCTTTTTTTCTTGATCTTTTTGTTTCAGATGTTTACAAATACTTCTCTATGGATCATTCGACGTCTTTTTAACGTCAATCAAACAAAGTATAGATACTTTTCTATCGTATCATCAGCGTCCATGACATTAAATTCAACTATGTAGAAACTCATCCAATGTCGACAATATAAGGAAGTTCTCGATCTTTTTGATCGACAATCTCAAGTGTCCACAGATGCTACACATACCTTGGCTTTGAAAGCATGTGCTAAACTACGTGATCGTGAACGTGGTATTCGAATTCATCGACAGTTATCATCACACGCACTTCAGGGTCCTTTTATTCAAACATCACTGATTCATTTTTACAGTAAGTGATGACCTTCTCTTCTCACCTGAACTTCTATTTGATAGACAGAAGCAAAAGTTGTTTTTTTTTAGTTTCATCTCATGATTTGTGGATAGACTGTTTGATGCATAGATGGTTTCATTTTTGATAAAAGATCTCATCCTCATTAGTTAAAGTATAAGAATGAAAATTTGTATCACTGACCTGCTGAAAATGCTTCGAGTCGGAACTACATGTCTCGATCATGTGGTATTGCCGAAAAATCCGGGAAGCGAAAATCCAGAAAAAAATTTTCACGATGGAAATCGAGTTGCCACGTGGAAATTCCGGATTTTTCTTTTCTAGATTTTGCGACATATTTGATCATGTTCATACATCTTTTGATACAAGTTAACCGTTTTGGTCAATAGTCATTCGAAATCTCTAGGTATTGATCATGGTTTTGCTAATGATGACAATGACGAACGATTATCGTCGTGAAGCAGATCCTGTAGATTTGAGATGAAATGAGGTTCATCTATCAATCTAGTTAGTCTTTTTCGTTTCTAGTGCAATGCCATGACATTGACCATGCTCAACAGATCTTTTCGGCCATTGGCAGAAAGACAATTTTTATGTATGGTGCGCTATTCAAGGGTAAGTCTTTTTTTTTGTTGAAGGATCTATGTAAGATGAATTGATCATTAGGTTATGTCTCCAATGATATGCCTGAAAAAGTGCTCGAACTATTTGATGAAATGCCAATAGAACCCGATGAAGTGATCATTACAATATTATTCAATGCCTGTGCCAAACTTGCAAATACTCATGCAGTGAAACTTGGAAAAGACGTGCTGAATCGATTACCAACTGCTGTTTTTCAACATCATAAATTAGTGAATTCAGCCATAGACATGTTGATGAAGTTTGCTGATGTAGCGCATGCGGAACATCTCTTCCAACTAATCAAGAATAAAAGCATTGTAACATATGGAGCAATGATGCAAGGTAATTGAGAGTGATCTGATTAGCTTCATGATGAATATTAATCTTCAACTCTAGGTTATGTCATGAATGATATGTCCGAGAAAGCATTAAATTTATTCGAAGAAGTTTCTTTCAAATCGAACGAAGTCCTGTATGCCATTGTGTTTAGTGCATGTGTTTCATTATCTAATGAAAGAGCCATTCAATTTGGAAAGAAGCTTCTTCATCAAATGCCGACGATGTTTCTCGATGATGTTGTTGTAATCAACTCAGCAATACACATGTTGATGAAGTTTGGTGAAGTAGAAGATGCTGAATGTCTCTTCTCACGAATGAAGAAACGGAACTTGTACACTTATGGAGTAATGATGAATGGCTACAACCTTAATGATGAATCACACAAGTGTTTGAAACTCTTCCAACAAATCAAGCAACAGAACATTACACTCAACGAACCGTTATCTATGTCATTGATTGGTGCATGCTCTCAGATCGGCATGCGTTCGATCTGTCGAAATATTGTTGATCAGATTCCGAATCACGTCGGAATCACGGAAAAACGTTAAAAAGAAAAATGTTAAACGACTAATATTAAAAATGAATTTAATATTTTTGTGCCTTATTTAAATATTTTTCTATCTAGGCTAATAAATCTTTTTCTTGTTGCAAGATAGAAATATACTTAACTGTATTTTTAAAAAAAATAAATATTAAACCTGGCGATGATGTTAATATTAAATTGATTTTTAATATTAGTCGTTTAATATTTTTCTTTTTAACATTTTTGGGTATACCGCCCATTACAGCGGACTCGAAAGTGTTATGAAGGCTGGTACTCTTGTACAGGGCAGACATACAACCACGCTGTAAAAAAGAAGTGTATTAGTGGGTGTGTAAATCACGTAGGTGGCAGGCGTTCACTCGGAATATAAGTGGTGTGTATTAATGCGCACCGCTTGACCAATCTCGGTGTGTATTTACACATCTACACTGTGCACTCTAGATGATCAGTGAGGATAAAAAGCTTTGAATTTACGATCTTCTGTTTTCACAAATATGTCAAAATATAACAATTATCCTAAAAACGTATAGATAAAGTTTTCTAAACTCGCTTTTACTACCCGATTTTTTAGTTCCCGATTTCGTTTAAGACGATGTGGCTCTCAAGGGTAGTAAAAGCGAGTTTAGAAAACTTTATCTATACGTTTTTAGGATAATTGTTATATTTTGACATATTTGTGAAAACAGAATGAGAGCCACATCGTCTTAAACGAAATCGGGAACTATCAAATTTTGTTTCTCAAAGAGCTTACTCAATTCGAATATGTATGCACATCAGTCCGTTCTCATCAACTATATAAAATTCAGGAAATGATCATAAAAAAATCCGTCAGGTTTCATTCAGCTCCCTAGCATTACGAAAGCCCGGTAAAAAGTAAGGCTGTCGTAACACGGTAAAATGACATACATTAAAAAAAACAGGGCTTTCGTAAAGATAATGCAAATGGATTAATGTCTAAGTAGATGCTGTGA